TGTGAAATCTTACCCATCTCCTTTGATAAATTCAATGAGTGGAGTGATTTTCAACTCGGGGCTGACACGCTGGAAAATGATACAGGTGTTCTCCTCCCAGTGCTTGATACCGGCACTAATTGCTGTCTCGTTCACTAAAATCATATTCGTCTTCTCCTTCTACTTGTTTGCTTTCACTGCCTCAGTTGAAAACAGTTTTGTTCAAAACTTCTGCCAAAACCATTAATTTAGCGCTATAAAGTTCCTTGGTACCTTTCTGACAGAGCAAACTTCGTGGGAGGAGGACTGTGGCTACCACAATTTAGCACATTTGTTCGCCTAAACAATAAGTTATCGAGAAACCTACTATTTACTGCTGGTCCACATTGCTCTCCTTACAAAGTCGGCCACCAATTACCGGTTTTTGACTCATCCAACTTGTGCAAAAATACATTAGCTGAATTTAGCTCTTTTATTCTAACTTATCAGAGGTTTTACTAGCCTTTTAAGGGCATCTGAGCAGTTGTTTTCTTCCTGAAGCATCATTCAGCAAGATAAAAAAATGGGCTTCTAGCTGTTAAAACTATGAAAAAAAAATACTTGCCGCCACTGTTAGTGTTGATTGCATACGGTATTGGCAATTTGTCCCAGAGCAATGAGCGGTCCGAAGTGATCGTTCGTCGCAGTCTCTTCCCATTCTTATTGCGGGCAGTTTTTCGGGATGCATTCAACTCTTTGATCGCATTACTTAATGCAGTTATTACTGTGCATTGTTCTTGTATCAAAATTCACCAAGAAAAGTGTCAGAACATAAAATTTGTACAGGTGTTACGAAGTTTATGACAAAAAGAAACGAGGTGAAAAACCACCGCTGAGGAAAAAGCAAAAGGCAATCTTAGCTCCTCAGTATCATTTCAAACTTCGCGATAAAATTCCGAAAAACAGTCTTATGCCTCAATGATTTACTCTTCCTTTATCCAGCGAACATCCATACACATTTTGAAATTGAGGAAAAATATATAAGACGTAATAAATGAAGCAGCAACCAATATCTCTAGAATTCGATACTTGATTCGTTAGTAATTTGATACTGGCAAATACTAAGGAGTCAAATTGGCCGCAAGCCTGCTTCTAAACAACCCTCGGAAGAAGGAGTCTTCGACATCGTCATCAGCGAGTAACTATAGTACTTGCTGTCACTCAATCTATCTTTGTGTGCGTATTTTGTACTTAAAGCAAATTCAGAGGGGGGTTTTGATTCGACATCAAGTGTTTGAAAATCTTTAGTGAAATTATGAAAAATTTGGGTGAAAATTGTCCAGTAATCACATTCGATTTCGAGGCGTCCTAAAACATTTGTTTTCTGAGCATCCGTATCAAGGCTACGTAATATCCTGCTACAGTTCTTAACTTAATTCAAGATTTTCTTTGTGAAGGCAGGCAAAAGAATTTAAAATTACGAATAAACTCATGTTTCGAATAGCTTCTTATAATATACACTTGAAACGGCTACTGGTTCATTATGCAACGGTAGTACCTAGCCAACAACTGCTTCAATTTCTATCTTTTTCATTTGCCTGGTATAAAATGAAGAAGAACGAGCTTACTTAAGTATGAGTTGCATTTGTTCGTCGGTAAGCACGATGTCACCTTCAAATAATCTTAATTTTTCTCGATGACCCGCTGGCCTGGATGACGATTCCTCCATTGCCATTAAACTGCTCTCTGGTAACGCTTTATCGTCTTGTTGTTCCTTTCCCTACAAACTTTTTTCTGACTTTTTACTAAACGCATACCAGAAAGTAATAAGTAAGAGTGAATCATTTACTTATG